AGCTCTTAATGTCACATGTAAGGGAAGTGGAAAGCGGGCTGCAGCTTTTAGTTCAGGAAATTTTCCTGGCTCGTTGTCTCATCTCTGCTACAAACCTAGAGCAGACCATAGGTCTGTTTTGCCCTCTTCTATAACTGTAGCAAACACAAGGGCAAAACAAAATCATATAAAGAATGACAAGCTTTATCACTCACAGGATTAATGACAATTTTTCTTAGATATCAGAAAAGCACTGCAATCGGTTACATCTCTGCTAAGGGCTAAATTTAAGACACCACAAAGACAAGACAGATTATTTTAGGTTGGCCTTGAATATGTTTTTTCCCCCCTTTTCTCATTTTTTACACAAATCCAACACGCACTGCCAGAAGAAAGATAATCAGTTCCAGTCAAGCTCAAAGGATGTCTACTCACAACTGCAAAATAAAAAAAAGTTTGGATCTTATTAGCAAAATACGTAACCAGCCTTATATCTGACAACACATAATTTAACTATCTGTAATGTTACTGAGGGAAGAAATGATTTATGGAAGTATCCAATGGCTCCACAGACCACTGCACTGGCAAAATATAACGCTGCAGCACTGGTGACACAAGATGTGCCTGCAGCCTTCTCGTGATTTTTGCCCTTGAAGTCTGGGCTCAGGTATGCTGCAGGGAGGGAGGTCAGAGCCGCACCAGGCTGGCAGGTCAGAACCACAGCCCCACCACAATTATTTCCTACGCCCGCTCAAGCTTTTCAACCACAACAGCATTTTTATCTTACCACACTATTCTGAATTTAGTTTCAGGAAGCCAGCGTTGAGTGCAGCACACAGCATTCAAAAGGCTGCAGGAAAGTAGGGCAGGAGGTACTTGCTTCGTTCTAAGGATCATCTACGGGTCAGTATTTTCCTTGCATTAATTCATACACTGAGCAGAAAGTGCCAATGCAAGCCTAGGAACTAGTCCTTCACACAGCTCACCAAAACATCATCTCTTTTTAGAAGAAATTTCTGCTGTCCTGTGGTCAAATGGACTGGCTGTAGCCCAGTGGCCTGCATAAAGGCTAAGATGAAGAAGTGAAAATTAACAGAGCACTGGATGGGAAACCCAAGAGTTTATCAAAAGTGTCAGGATCAAGGAAAGACTAAAAACCTGAAAAATCACACCTATTTAATGACTAAGCTCAAGGCTGGCACATACTCAACCATTTGTAAGCTGGCCTCTAGAATGGCTGTGGAATACACAATCCCTGTTCAATTCGAGGCAAGTTCAGGACACAGCATCACCTGGGATTACACCCTTGGTTACTGCTTTTAATGTGCTCTGCATTTCCAAATCACCCAGGGAGCAAAATGAAGAGGCAAAGACAACATGTAAATCTTCTTTACCAAGGGATTGCAGTTTTCTGGAAAGAATGTTTTCAATTATTAAAAAACTGGCATACACACAGCACCGAGATCCTAGACCCTGCAGCTTTCTGAACTCAGCAAGTTCCTTCTGCTCCTTGGCAGCACAGTGTGAGCAAAGTCCAGATCCAAGATTACAAACTTTCTAACTTCTGGATCTGACAGAGAGCATTCTCCCCAAAGCAGCTATGTTGCATGTAGGACACAATAGTACAGTATAAGTTGTAAAAGTACACGAAATTCCTCAAGTGTCGCTTCACCAAGTACAAGAAATTCCTCAAGTGTCACTTCACGAACCACAGAAACCATGTGCAGCCAGCCCCGAAGGAGAATTGTGTGCCTCGTCATACGCGCAACAGAAGGCAGAAACGCTGCTGAACAACTTGCTCTGGTAGCAGCGCCGGAAGGCAGCGGGGAACAGTTTCAGGATCACAAAGTTCCACAAGCTGCAAGGAACAGGAAGGAGTAGGGAACCTGGGAGCACAGACATTTATTACTCACTAAACATAAGCACCAGCCCTCTCCCCCTGATAGAGCTGTCTACCGATTAATTTATTTTTTATTATATCAAGCTGTCTTACTACAGCATCTCTCAAATTCTTCTTTGCATTCACGGTACAAGCCTAGGGCTTTGCAAGGTTAAAAGAAATAAATTGATGACAAACAAACAAAAAAAAATAAATCAAGCCTTTAGCATATAAAAGACATCAATGTTACCAGCTGAAGCTAAAATTTAGTCAGCGTAAGACTACGACCACAACACGCAGGGTTTTCAATGCCAAGTTCTGTGCTGTGTGTTGACTGTCAGGGAGACAAGGGGGGCTGGAGCTCGACACACCAGCTGTCAAATCAAAGAGATGAAAACACCAACTCTTGCATTTATTTCTTAAATAAATTTCACACATGGGTGAGCAGCGAGAAATACATGCTTGTATGTTAACTATAAACTATTGACCAATCCTCACCATTTCTTAAGTGAGTCAAAACCGATGTCTTACTGCGCAAGACCTACCAGGTCTTTCCTTCAAGACAGCGTTTGGGCTGTAAGTTAGGGCATCAGCTCTGAAACACTCCTTCCTATCACTGGGGGATTTGATAGTCACAACTGCCATTAAAAACAGAAAACCCCCAACCTCCACACATTTCCTCCATAAAATTAATGGCTACATGGCATTCTCCTAGTAGACTTTCCTAAGTCTCTGCGTTCTACAAAAAAGTTTTTGTCGAAGCTAAAAGCTGTGACGGTGCTAGGTCAAGGCAAGGCTTCCATACTGATAGCAGAATACTAACTATGAATCAGCTATTTGTGGTGGAAATTCAACTTAAGAAACAATTTCACCACTTCTTTTGAAAAACAGTACACATTTGTCTTGGACTAGTTTCTTAATGTGTAGAAATTAAGCTTTTGAGTTGAACAACCAGGTCAAATATTACACTAAATGAAGCATCAGTATGTCCATTGCTTAACAATCAAAAATCTTGTAGATACAGGAAAGCTAGCAGGTTCTCCTGCAAACATTTAGTTCTCCCTGAAAAGGTCCTGATTTATAAAGGACGTCAAACAAAATATTTCAGCCCTAACAGAGATTTAGTATACCGTTTAATATATTTAACAATAAAGTACTTAAAGTAGGAGTTAGAAGATAGTTAACAGAACATAACTTGGAATTAGACAGTGATTTTGACCCTTTGTGAAGATATCTTCAAAATTATTTAGATATGAAGCTTAAGCTCAGTTTAAGAGGTCAACACATGAACATAACTCTCCGAAAAGTCATCTGCTGTTGACAAACCTTGTACTATTCACCCTCAAAACGTAACTGAAACTGCCACGAGTCTTAAGTATGAAAACCTCATCTTCTTGTCTTTTCAACAAACTCCTCTTCAATAAACAACTCCACTCGAAGTTTCTGACAGCCAAGATACATGTGAAGTGAAAAGAAGAGTCAGTCAGCATCGTTCAAAATCATTTTAATCTTCAACAAGGGAAAATAAATGCATTAACACAAAGAGAAAACACTTTGGGAAGACAATATGGAACCACGACAGGGTTTTAGTTTATAGAAATGCAATTTATAATTTTATAAAAATTATATGAAAGAATAACAACATCTTTCAGTAACATCAGACAGTATAGAAAAAATAAATGTCAACATTAGTTGTGCTTTGATGGTCCTTCTAGTAAGAAATTTAAAAGTGCTTTTTGAATAGCAGTGTTGCAACTCAACATTAGTGCAAATGTCAAATCTGTTTTAAAGCAGATATTTATAGCAATTGTGCAAGTTCTTACGATTAACAAACCCCATCAATCTAAAAATTAACACTGAGCGAGGTCACTACTCTGATTAGAATTAAACATTCGTTAAATAGCTTACACACCAGTTCTACTACAAGGAAAATATTGATGCTCCTTCACAGAAAGGCTTGAACTTAAATGTTACATGTAACTCGTTCTACAAATCGGTGAATATCTCGAAGTTAAAAAAGCTCTTGCAAAATATACAGTTTAGTACATTTATGACCAAGGGCTACAAACAGTACCTAAGGCAAAATCTAGCAACTTAAATAAAACCAAACTTCACAGTTAGTGTACTGAATTTGCTCTTACATACAGTATTTTGTTCCCAAATCCTCCCTGAAGCTCCCATATAAAGTTAGCACATGAACTCCATGTAGAAATTTCACTATATTCTTATCTGTAAATACCAACAATTTGGTTACCAACTACTGCTACTACAAGTACCGTTACTCTTTGAGCAAGTGAAAAACACAGCACTAGTTGGAAATTAAAAGAAATAAATAAAAATCAAAATTTACTCTTTACTGTTTTTACAAATGACAAGCTGGCAATAATAAAAGCCACTCTATATTTCTACATAGTATTTTCTGCAAGAATTCTCAGAACTCTAAAATTAGTTTTCGTTTTAGTGTTGTTTCCTTACTTTGTAATTTATGATGCATAGTAACTATTGCCTTTCCTATGCAGGCCTCATTTTAAGAGAGGCAAAAACTAGGCAGTTAACACTGAGCCCTTATGGCTCATTTCATGTGGAGCCAAAGGCATTTTGTATTTTATTTCTCAAGGTGTTTATAAGTAGGATTTAAGCCACTATCAACAACAGGACTAAAATACAAATTAATGAACTTCCATTCTAACAGAGTATGGCTTGCAAACCTAACAACTGAACAGGGTTTTTTATATAGTATTGCACTTTAGTACTAAATTGACAGTCAGAAACTGCACAGAACTCATTTTATAACAATATATCAATTAAAAAAGCAATAAATAAAGTGCAGTACCTAAAAATAAAAGTAGAAGCCACTGTGTTTAGTCCACATTTCTCCCACCACAGTCTGAACTTCTTCAACTGAAATAAGTCCAGGACGGTCTGTGGATACCAACTGCATAGTTTTTTCCACACAACAGACTACCCATAACAATAAGAGAAGCAATTAAAGCTTTCTGCAGTAATATTATCAACTGAAGGACAGCACCCTGGAGTATATGTCTCAGTTAGCTTACACAGAGGGGTTGCCTTTGCTCACGATCGCTTCAGAAGCCAGACACAGTTACTGCGTGACTGCACATCACCTCTAGCGTGTTACTCTACAGGCAAGTGGAGCCTTTTTAAACGTGTGACATTAAACCTGATAAGGACGTGGAGACCTCCTGCTCCCGCAGCGGGAAGCCCTTTCCTAAAACTTAGCAACTCGTCATTGCAGCGACAAGTTGGTTAAGTCTTTAGCAGCGTCTCTGATCATCTGCTCTACCTTGGGATTTTCGGCTCCGCTGGTTGCCAGCTCCTTGTCGATAAGCCCCAGGTTATGCAAATTGAGGATGGAATCGGCAATAATCCGCGCGGTCCTCTTCTGGTAGCCTCCAGACGTCACCATCAGGATTGGGATCCTGCGTCTTCTGGCAGCTTTGAACACGACTTCATCTCTCTTCACAATTCCCTGCACGTGTGCAACGACAAAACGAAACAACATTAAAAAGGGGTACAAATACAGGATATGATAGGATCAGCCTATGCTTTATAGGTTTACAGTTTAAGTGATTAAGTCCTGCATTTTACAATATGAATTAAAAAAAGGTAACTTAAGAGTCCCATCAGCAGGTTTACATGCATCATCATTAAAAATATGAAAACCAGCAAATCAAGAATCCTTGACTTGTTTTTAGAGGACACAACAGAAAAAAGTCTTTAATACAAATCCCTAGAAGAATTCCTGCTCAAAGGCCATAAAGTCTAAACTGACTGAAGTTTAGAAACGTTCACCCTATTTCACAGCTGAGGAATTGAGATTAATAAAGATTGTCGGAATTCAAAGAGCTTTAGTTTGTGCTCAACTTGCCTACGACAAAGGTTTAGCAACTTGATCAAAATTTCACAAACCTAAAAAAGAAGCAGAAATTTAAATCAGATTTTACACACTCACAATCCCTAGATGAGTTATAAAATTCCAGGTTTTTTAAGAAAAGAAAATACTGAAATAATCTATGGCTGAAGGGGGAGTTGCAGGATGTAAGTAATGCTAAGTCCACAGGAAGGAAAATAAATCCTAAATAACCTCTTACTAATAGAGAAGGGCATAGAACTAAAAAATAACAAAGACTGCTGACCAAGAGGTACTGTACTGTCATTGAACTCATACACCAGCAGACTTCGAGTATCTTGGATTTCAAATAAGTACATGTGGGGAAGGAGAGAGAACTCAGAAATAAGTGAGAACAGAATTAAAATCTACTTCTGTAGAAAAACAAAAAGCCAAGAGTTCCAGAGTTACACAGGGGGCATAAATAATCCATTATAACTCCTCAAAATAAAAGGCTAACAACATAATAGACAACAGCTTCAAAAGGACAGCCCGAAATTTAAATGACTGCAAAAGCTGGGGAAAGGGATATAAACGCAAATACAAAAGGAAAAATGAAGGAAGCAATAGCAAAAACGGTACAACAAAATGAATGTGTACTACTCAAGACTGGTTAGAGGAAGACTGTAAATACATCAAGAAATATTACCCTGCCATTAAAAGAAAATTAGACCACAAGCAAATTGTAAAGGGAAAGAATACGTTTCAAATGTAGCTGAAAAACTATTTTGTAAAACCATACAACAGTAATGTTTTTGGCATGGTTTGATACAGTCCTGTATAAGAACAATGGGAGTAAAGAATAGCTGACAAATAAGACAAAGGAGACTGGAGTCACTGAAGGAACAGATCCTTCAGTGAAGTAACAGAAAGACAGGACGAGCCGCACAGCCCTGGGGAACCGCTGGCTGCAGCAGCCGTTACCCCACACCAGAGCTGGAAGCTCTCACAACTCGCAGGAGCCCAACCTACTCAGCCTGGCTCCAGCATCTCCAGGGACTGAGCCGGGAAGAACCGAGGGGAAAACACACAGGCTTACTCCAGCACTTGCATGTTACCAAGAAAGAAAATGCGTCAAATGAAAACAACGGCCCAAACCAGTTCCCACACACAAACAGAGAGAAGAGGGACGGAACCTGCTACACCTCAAGTTTTCCGGCGACAGCCTCAAGCACCAAGATACTATCACTCATAGCACTCTGAGGAGGCATAATTTTGCCTAGAATTAACCCTGTAGCAAGATTTAAAACATATGAATGGAATTTATAACTGCAGGACTAATGAAACTTGAAGATAATAATTGTCCAGGCTCGAAGCCTTCAGCTTTGACATGTGCAGCAGCAGCCTGGGCTTTCGAGCTTGGTGAGACAAGCCCTTCACATCTAGGCCAACAAGATCAGAGACAAGAATCCCTGCCCTCAGCTCAGAAAATAAAGCCACACAAAGTTCTTCTCCATCAGGCACCTCAACCATTGGTTGTGCAGGGAAATGGCACTCTGCCTTTCATCTCTACTTGTGACCAGAAGAATCATTTCACATTTCTTTCCCCATCCCTACATTTTCTCCAATCCTACACAGCACCCAACAACCTACAGCAACTCATTTTTTCCTGGCAATTAACACCGTTTCCTCAAATGCCAGAAAAGAATTTGAAAAGGCACATCTTATCCTCTGTCTATCACTGGCTCCCATTGCTCCTGGCAGGCACCACTTTCCTGCCTTAAAAAAAAAAAAAAAAAAAAAAGCTCTGCTCCACTGAATGAGATCTTACACCTCGGGTCACATCCTCCCCAAAGCCAAAAGCAAACGAGTTTAAGCCCCTCAGCTCTTCCTCTCTCCTCAGAGACTTTTATGCGGCCATGGAAACACAACCTGGAGATTCAGAGCAAATAAAAGCAGCAGGGAACTAGAGCTCTCTGCAAAAGAGCTGAAGGACTGCAAACCAGAAGGGGAAGCGATCACATCGAGCAACGGCTCAGTTAGAGAGCTCACAGCTCAAGTACTTCTCTACATTGAGCTGGTGGACACTAGAGGAGAACTAAAGGTGGAAAGAGCAGACAGAACCGAGGAGCTGTCAGAGAAGGAATTGTTAAAGAAAAAACAAAAGGAAGAGATCTGTAAATTTTTATTTTGATAGTAGACTCGTTATATCTGGAAGTTGAAGCTTTCTTTGAAGCTATACAGAATAAAACAAAATTTAAATCTGGTTACCGAACTGGGGAGAGAAGGTAAACTGAACTGAAAATGGGTAGTGATATCTGCACAGAAAAGAGTAAGAAAAAAATAAAATTCTCTTTGCTTGCTAAGAATACACAGACTGGCTGCACAAAATTGCCAGAACTGGAAGATACCAGAAGAGCAGATTATAACAGCTGGGAGTGCTACAGAGGAAATTAAGTGCAAGACACCTACAGGGGCCAGGTGACAAAGGAAATACACTGCACGATAGGTTATAGAGAGGACAAGAAACAAAGACAGAATCAAAGCGGAAAAAAGAATTTGGCTGAGGTATGAAAATATATGCCCTTCTGGTTACAGTCTGGATATTCAAAACCAGTGTATTGTAGAGGGAATACGAACAATAGCGGAATAGGAACCCAAAGAACAAAAATATTTAGAGTCAGAAAGAGACAACAAAGAAAAAAAGCACAGGTGAAAGAGCAACAGAGCTGCACCTGTATCTACCTACAGCAGGAAAATACTCAGGCTGAGTAAAGCACACACCTCATCTTTAGCTAACAAAGTCACCCTCAGCACTGCTGCCACCACCTAGTGAGGAGCGAAAAACCTCTAGGTGTTTAGGATTAATACAAACCTGAGGCGAAATAGCGAGTCCTCCCAACGGATCGCCATCCAGAATATCAGTCCCAGCATTATAAACAATGACGTCGGGCTTTAACTCGTTTAACGCTCCTTCCACGTGAGTATGTACCTTCTGAAGGTATTCGGCGTCTTCTGTACCCCACTCTAATTCCACCTTGCGTTTTATGGCGCCTACGAGAAAAAAATTTAAAAATGTTTCAATGTTCCTCCAGCAAAGAACTGCTTTGAAAGAAAGTGTCAGATTTAGGTAAGCAAGAGGAAAACATAATGATTCTGGAAATTTTTTAAGTGCACTGCATTTTCACAGAAACGTAAGGTAAAGCAAATTATTCAACTACTTGTTTTCCCAGCAAATGTAAGTACAATGACCTTGAAAATATTCCAGTGAAGAGAGAAAATTAGATTTTTTGGGGGGGGGGGGGGGGGGTGGAAAACAAATCTCTCAGACACAAGCAGAAAATCCTATTGAAAACAGCTTATCTACATGTTCATTTACTAATCAGCAAAGAAATCGTAAAGAAAATTATTAACTTAAAAGTAATCTAAACAAAGGGAAAGAAAACACTGAATTGCTATTGCAGAGGAAACAGTTGGGAAAAAAAACCATGATAAATATCACTGAGAAATTATTAAGATGTTTTATTTTTATCACAACCCTCTTAACAGCAAGGGATCATGAATTTACGTGAACTGCTTTATGAATGTGTAACAAAATTCAGCTTTGCCCCAGGCATTTTCAATTTAATGTTCTTACCCTGTAATCCTACCAGAAGAGCAAATATCTATCCCTAATTTAAATCAAAATAGTTCTAATGCTTCTAATAAAGCATTACAAGTAGAAGAGGGTTGAGAAAGTAGAAGGAAGAACCGAAGGTTAATACAGTCGAGCTTTGGGTGCTTCTACAGAGTTGTGTGTAACTAAATCTGAATTAATCAAATCCGTGTTGGAAGTGTTTCGAGGCGTAAGCTCTACCCCACCACACCCTATGCCTTGAGTTAAATAACCTGGAGCCTCCATTCAGCACCCACCAAGCGTGCAGGAACGCATTCAACACAGAATGATACTTTTTCACTCCTGTGACTGCTGGGCAGGGGTTTTTTTTCCATCCTTGGGGGTTTTTTTTCCATCCTTGTTCAACAGTAGTGAAGCATTCTTTTTCTTCCTGTTATTTTACTGCCTCAGCATCAAAGATTTTTTGTTCCTTTATGATATTTTTCTTATCGTCATACAAACGTTCATCGAAGTCGGCAAAGCTGTGCTCTTCTGAACAGCACTTAGAGCCTCTTCAGGGTAAAGAATCCGTGAGCTGGAGACAGCTTTAGAGCAGGAGGTAAACCCATCAGCATGGGGAACAAACAAGTATCGTTCTGATGAAGCCATTAAGAACTCAGGATGATCACAAATAAGATTCCGTGCCTCCGCAGGTCTCTCTCCTTCACCCCCGGCACAAAACACAGAATTACACGGGGTAGTTATCAGCCAGGCCAGGGATGACTGTTGGATCTGTAGGTTACATTGGACACAGCTTTTGCATTTAACAGCCTTTTGCCCATCTCTCGCTAATTACGGCTTTTTGAAAGCTGCAGAACGACGGACCAACGCAGCAACGCTTTTTTTAAGGCCCACACTTGGAGCTCCAGCTGTCAAGCTTTATGCTCACCAGCAAACTAGTCCCTCTCCCATCCACCTTCCCTCTCTTCCTGAACTTTTGTGCGATTCCAAGCTTAGGGCTCAGCATTAGGCAATGGTAGCCAGCTTGTCTTTTTTTTTTTTTTCCTCCTAATGAAGCCAAAAAAGTACAGAAGAGACTGTTATAATAAAACATGGGCAAAATGAGTGGGAAATCCAGGGAGGGAGCAATCACAGTCAATATGTGAATAGATAGATGCTTCTCTCTCTCATTTTCATTTTTCTTTTTCATTTGTTTGCTGATTGTCTCCTTACAGACATAACATACTTAAAACAAAAAAGATCACCTTTTAATTTAATACCTTGAATTACATATATTGCAATCTTCAAAAACTTCACTGGTTAAAAACCAGAAGAACAATGTGCTGCACCTAATCCTCACCAAGAATCCAAATTAGGTAGGCTTTTCAGAAGGACAGAGTCATTCTCAAGAAAGCCGGACAGCAGCAGAACATCTCCCCCAACAAATTAGGATTCAGTTAACAAATCCAGCCTGTAATAAACGACAGTGTAACAGAATCCAAGATCAAATAAGCTTTGGGCTTTAGTATCCCCAATTAACTGGGACAGGTCACCAGCCACAACAGGCACAGCACAGCAGGGATAAAAAATCAAGCACGAGCTCTTAACATTTGCATGGCATCCCCAACTTGTTTCACATTCTGATGCATTTTGTTTTCCAGCTGCTTATATAACAAGTTCCACCAGAAAGACAACAGCTAAACGTGATCATTTGTAACTTTCAAAAGAACGTGAAACTTTTTAACACAGTATTAACTAAACCTGAGTGAATTATTTCATAAATTTAGTGTAAGGGAAAGATTAAATTCTAACAGTTATCTTCAAATCCAAAACCAATTATCTCAAACTCACGAGCTTTTGCACGGGCTGCTAACAAAGTCCATGCAATACCGACACCTTGCATTCAAGAAATTCATTCCACAAGTGAGGGAAAACACTACAGAGTGTTAACACTAGTGGGATACATCACAGGGATCACTGAAAATTGTATGTCCAGTGTTAAATTCTTTTCCAAAAAAAATCTTTAAAAAATCTAATTAGCATTGTCGCAAAGGACATTATTCGTAAATGAAGAAGTTACTTAACACCACGGTATGTCTTTTACCTTTTTGGAGCATGAATTTCAATTATACTTACGTTTCGCAAATCCATCCCCTGGATAAATGTATCTGTTGTACACATCCATAATATACACCCGAGGATCATCCATGAAGTCCCTCTCATGGCCATTTCCCTGAAGGAAATTTACAGTTAGCTATTCCTAGCACACTACCACAGAATTAAACAATCTGCAAATTCTAGAGTACTTTAAGGCTACAAACACGGCGTATTTCAGACTCCTGGGTCAGCCTCTTATCTGTAATCTTGAAGGTTATTCTGAGGCGTAGACTTTGGAGGGCTCTGGCAGTATCAGTCTGAAGACCGCAGGTATTATCACACTCAAAATCCTTCCATCTCTGTGAAGATAATTATCACAGACCTCATTGCACATATTAGAAAAAATAAGTGAAAATTAGAAGCTAATTGCCTTCAGCAGCAGGGATACTCAGATTCTTATGCAATGATTAATAAATAAATAAAGCAGAACACAGCTCTCCTGATAATTCAAGCTGTGGTGAGATAAGTAATCCCGAGGAAAATTATAAACACTGAAGACTCCACAGTTTAGCATATCGTTTAACACCAGAAATTCCCTACGAAAAGATTGTACTGGGTATAAAGATGGATGCTCAAGAGAAAACTCAGATTCCAAATATTTCCCTCTCCCCAGTTTCTGGATTTAAATCGTATTCTTTCAGCTCCCATTTTGACTTTTTTTTCCTCGTAGTAAAAAAGACATCATCTTTTCACAGCAATCACTAAGATAATTTTGTTGAATCCAGCGTATCACACAGGATCCCAGCCCCTACCCCCAACAGAACCTCATTTAACCTACAGAAATCTAGGATCTAGCTTCTGTAATCCGCTTACATCATTTCCGTCCCCGGACAGTTAAGTTACGGTTCTGCTACAGCTTCTCCCCCTGCAAACAACCAATCCCCTCCAAAAAAACCAACCAAAGGATCGCTGGGCTAAAGCTAAGCAATGTGTGTGCAAAAGGGAATGGGAAGCACCTGAATTGTGCTTCTCCCTGCTAAAAAATGGCCACTCTTGCTTATTTCTTCAGCACCTTCGGTCTGCAAATTAACAGTTAAAAAGGATCTGCTACTACTTCCCACTGCTCTCGTTCCTCAGAGAAAGGAACCAAAGCGGTGATTTTGTGGTTACCAGCAAGATACGTGAAAATCAAAATACATTCCGAGAAGTCTCTACAAAACAAAAACATCCCCAGAACCCCCAAAAGCACAAAAAGATCCATATCCTGACAGATACAGCTGAAGATATTCATGAAAACAAAACACCTTTCTGTTGCAGAATCTATGTCCTTATTTCATGGTAATTTTAAGATGTCTTAACTTGCAGGTAGGAAAAATGGTGGAAGATGGAAAATTTGCAGCAATTAGGCTTCCTCATTGCCATGGAGCTACGTAAAAATGGTTTATTTACATGTAATAAATTAACTTCAACACTTCAGACTTGACATAGTTTTGGTGTGTAACTGCTTTTCTAAAACTAATTCTTCCCTCCTGTCAGGATTTATTTTGGAAAAACCTACCAAAGATGAGATTTGTTCTCAGTACCCACAGTAAGTCACTTTACCAGAAGAGTGATATATTCTTTCTCTCATTAGGCTGAAGCCAGGCTTTCCATTAAAACACTGAAGGTCAAATTCACCACCTGCAAAGGCTGCTGCAATGATCACGCATCCTGAACTAACCCTAATTCTCTTTTAAGAGGTTTTGTTTCTTCAGGGATTCTGATCCACCCTGGAGACTGCAGCTCATAAATATTTTTGCATCTAGCCACATGATGGAGCTACAACTCAGTTTAATTTTCTTAAACTGCCTTAGAATCATAGAACAATTCAGGTTGGAAAAGACCCTTGGGATCATCGAGGCTTAACAGTCTTTAGGACCATAAAATTACTAAACTGTTCACAGTTTCCAACACATATGATTAACTTGGTATTCTGCGAGCTGACAGTTTCCACTAAGATTAGAAAAACTGGTATTTATCACACATGGTATTTAGAGCAAGACATCTGCTGCACTGAACACAGGTAAGATACTCACCTGATGAGCATCCAGATCAATAATTGTGGCTTTAGACACCCCCTGGACTCTTTCAAATAAGAACTGGATATATAAGCAAAGAACAAAACGGAGAAGGTAACAGTTAGGTGACAGATTAAATTGGAGGCTTGAACCTTGCACTGTTCCAGTTGGAAGGCAGCGTGCATCTACTTATTTTATCCACCGAATTACAGAACCTCTAGCTTTTCACACTAAAAAAAAAAACCCAACTGTGATTATACAATAAAAGAAACCTGGACATTTCCACCAGATGAAATGCATGAAACACGCATTTCACAGTTGTCTGTGCAAGTACCTGCCTGCCTCTAGGGAAGGCAGAGTTCTCCTCATCTCCCCTTTTCCCCTCCAAGTACCCGACACAACACGGGATCAAGGTCACGTCCCTCGACACCATCCTGCGCTAACCTGCAAAGCCGACTCTGCAAACGCGGTGTAACAAACCCTGTGTGGGCAATACTGCCTCCACCGAATGGAAGCTGGGACGTCTCTGCGTCCTGCACCACCGAGGCAGGAAAGGACAGGTGCACCCAGGGACTGCAAAGCTGCCGGTGGCACCGGCGCTGTCAGAGTGGAACCAGACACAGCACAGAGGAAGGAAGCAACAGCAACAACTGCAGGCTGGGAGAGGGGAAAGCAAGAGCTCCAAGGGCCCCAACCATCAAGGTTCAGGAGACACGAT